AAAAAAAAAAAAAAAATTTACAGATCGTTCCTAAAAATTAGTAAAAATAACAATTTAAAAATAAAAATTAATCTTTAAAATCCTATATACAAATCCTCCTAAATAAAGAGAATAAAAACAGTAAATTAGCTGGGAAACGTCTTCTGAAATAAATGAGTTTTAAGAGCCTTCTTGAAAGCATTAACTGAAGATATATTTCTAATAAAAAGGGGAAGATCGTTCCATAATTTAGGGGCAGCCATATAAAAAGATCGATCACCAAGCGTGGAAAGAGACTTGCATGGTGGAATGTTAAGAAGTTTGCCGTTATTATTTTGATCTAAGATAGTACCTACCCCCTGTGTCTTTCGGTGATAACAAGTTCGGAAATGTAAGTCGGAGCAAGTTTATGAATGGCCTTAAAAGTTAACAATATTATTGAAACATTTCTTTCTGTATTTTATTTGGCTCTGAGTTCCTTCCTAAAATGAACTTTGTTATTCATCAGGTGTTTTCATCTTAGCTTGTGTATATACATACAGATTTCTTATTACAACTTCCCTAGTCTATCAATGGCTGGTTTCAGTGTTACACCATTCAAAATAGATCAAAATAAAAATCAAAACTGTTCGATAGATAAAGTCCAGAATCTGGGAAATATAAGGAGGTAAATACACAAATACCCTGGCCAAGATTCAGGTCATAGAGGATATTACATAGCCGCGTGGGTATACGAATAATTTGTATCCCTGCGCAGCCATGTAATATCCTCTATGACCTGACCGGTTTTTATTTTCGAGTGCTGAGAGATACTTTCAGCACCAGAAGATAAAATTCATATCACCAAGGGGCCATGTCATGTTCTGTTTCTTTTATAGATACTGATGAAATTCCTACATAAAACACAACTTTTTTTAAATTCATTTTCGAAACAGCAAAATAGTGCAATTAAAGTGGTCAGCTATTACAAAATGCCTGTGACAAAAATGTTATGAAACTCGGATATAAAGTTATAAAGGAGAAATAAAGACAATAATACTTGTATTTTCTGTTCCAAAAAGTCAAAATTCTGATGAAGAATGAGCGGGAAACTCTCTTGTAATTAGCTAATCATGTTAGTAACTATGGCGACACCAATATCCTCACATGTGAAAGGTAAAAAATAGTATCTTCTCTGCACGCGATGAAGATATGATTTTTTAGTAAAAGGAAAAATCCTGGTGTTTCATCAGTATCTATATAATAAAGGGGAATATTTCATATACGAGATATCTGAAGAAATGTTTGACCCAAATTTGTAGGAATTTGTATGGAGATGCCTTGCTGGTGTCCACCTGGATGGGCACCAACATGGCGGATGGAAACCAACAGAAACATCCCTTTCTGAGTTTTGTTACAAAGGTGTGAATATATCCCTCAAGGAACTCATAGACTTTTAAGTAACACTTTTTCTAATTCATTAACTGTTTAAATAACAAAATTCTCCGTAATAAGTCACTTTTTAAACTTACATTACAGCTTTCTTGGCCTCATGTAAATGCTTCGTCACACAAAAGCTTAAAAATTCAAGCGTACTCTAACACAAAACCAAAAAACCTTTTGAAGTGAAAATTTGTATGAAAATTAGTTTTCAGCTGCTCTAATACATCATGAAAATAAAATCTCAGTAATACATATATAGTTTTGTAGTTCAATTTTAGTGACGTCATGTGAAATTGAAACCAACAATACAGCAGTCTCTCCTTGCTTCTCGCCCTTAAGGGGCATTTTTGTAGGAGAAACGGGTATTCCTGAACAACAGAAATTCCATACCGTTGACTGATGATGAGGAGTGAGGAGAAACAGCTATACTCACAGGCTACGACTTCCCTGTAGTTGATTGAAAAGCCAGTAGATTATAGAAATTTCCTCTGCTTTTTTTGGCAGCATGTATTTGCATGCATCGTTTTGTGGCAAGGTAGGGAAAATACCCATGGAACATGATGACGACCTTGCCTGTGAGATGGACCCATTCTGTGGCAGTCACCAACACCCTCTAGGCTGTCCAAAACAAGAACCTCCTGACGGTGTGGAAACAAATGGTAAAACTAGTGTTGCAAACCAGAATAACAGCCAGTCAGTTTCTGGAGGAGGAGGAAGTCTAGTGACTGGGGTCCACAAGACCAGTAATGGAGGAAAGCCTAGAGGTGTCAGCAATAGCGGCAGTGGAGGTGATGATGGCGATGATGGCCAAAGACCAAATGTCCCTGTTGGTGGTTGCCAAGGTGATAGTCAGTGTTATATTGAAGACGATGAGAAAGAAAATGATGGTGATGATGATGATGATGGCAATGACCAGAATGACAACAAGGAAAATGAAGTCTCCACTCATCATGAAGCAGCTGGTAAGTGAGGCTCAGAATCATTGAGTTTATCCACCAGTTACATGTTAAGGTTTTGTCCATATAATTATTATTATGGTTTCATTTCTTATTTCTAACTCTTTGATAATGTGGGTTGGTTGCTTAGGAAGAAAGAAAAATTGGTGATATTTAAAGTTTTTTGAACTTAAACACAAGGTATTCTTCAAGTTTTTTTTGCTAACAGTGAAAATAAACCCATTCAAGAGCACATGGGCAGTCTACATGCAATAACTTAAGCATAAATGCTGAAATCAGGGCAGCTGATAGCCAATTACCGGTAGATTACAACTATAATATGTTAATAATAGTACTATGTACAGTGGAACCTCAATATAATGAACCTCTACATAACAAAGTCTTTGGTATAACAAACAATTTTCTTTACCCCTGCAATAATAGTAAAATATATGGAAAAGAACCTCAATAATATAATGGAACTTTGTCATAGCGAACAAATTTTTCCACTTTCTTGCCATAATTCTGAAAATAATGCTGGGAGAAGGGAGGATGGGAAAGACGTTGAGGGGGAACTGTGTCATGACTCTCAAGTATCATTGCAAAATATTTAATATGCTTTAATAGTCTGAGTAAATAATGATAATAATTCTTATTAAGGTTTGACTTATTACTTATTTTTTACATTGACTGCAACCCTTCTCTTTTAATTAATTAATTAATTAATTAATGTATATTTTTTTCTTAGTGTATTTATTTATTAAATTTTATTTACTTTTTTAAGACCCCACAAGAATCGTCATTTTTGAAGGAGGTGACGTTTCATGAAAGAAGAAGAAGAAGAATTATAAATGTTATTGCCTTTTATAGGTAATAACCAGATGGACGTTAAACAGATGGCAGCTGATGTGGGTCAATCTTTTGAATCAAGATCATTTGGAGCATCAGGAGGGTCACTAAATTTCACCAGCAATGAATCAGGACAGTTAAGCCAAACAAGTAAAGAATGCCGCAAAAATGACAGTGAAGTGTCTCATGTTGTACGTGCTAAGAAAAGATCTGACCAGGTTAGTTTGTTATAAATTAAAATAAGGTGCTTCTGCTATGGTAACTACTCAAAATGTTCTGTTATCAAATCTTATCAAATCCAATGTTAAGCAAAGGTAGGGAATGATTGTGTGCAGAAATTGAACACAAACTCAGAATTTTGTGTGAGACCAATATTATTTCAATTTCATCTGATTCCTTCACCAAATGAAACTGATGAAGCAGAATCCAGGGTTCATACAGAGTCTTGAATTCTTGAAAAAGTCTTGAAATTTGCCCAGCAATTTCTCTGACCTGGAACAAGTTTGGAAAATAGAGAGAAAGTCTGGAAAAATGGTCAAAAGTCTTAAGTTTGTTTTCAAAGCTATAACAAGTGCTTCATAGGTTTTTTTTTTTGCGTTTTGGTCAAATCTTATTCAATCTTGCCTGTAAGTTTGCCGTGCATTGAGAGAAAAGCTTTGTTTCTGTTTTTAATTAGGTCTGAATTGATCACCTATTTGACAGCCTCGAGTCTGGAAAAAGAAATTATTGTTTTGAAGAAAAGTTTGGAAATAGTCTTGAATTTTGGATTCTGTATGAACCCTGAGAATCAGACATTCTAAAAATCATTCAAAACATTTATGCAGCAATAGCAAAGAATTAATAGTGCAGTGTAATAAAAAATTATATAGATAATTATGTGTCTGTACACTGCCACTGGATTCATTTTGCAGTTCTTTTAGTGTGTTGATGATTATCATAATATTGTTTGAACCCTTGATGATTGTTCAACGAATAATAATCATGATCAAATGCCTAGTGGTTAAAGTATTAAGACGGAATCGGAATCAGCCGATTTTTCCGCGAATTTGCCCCTGAAAATCCCGTGAAATTTTGCTTTTTTTCTGCGAAATGTCAGGAGCCCTGAGTTATCTATAATAACACCAAAGACTGTGAAAACCCAGGTAAAATTCTGAAAATTTCATGTGTTAGATGTCATTTTGTGAAATTTGACATTTATTTTCTCAGGCTGTCATAAGAAACTTTCTTTGGTGTTATTACAGAACTAACTAATATTACATCTATATAGCCCTTGACAAATGTAAAAAGAATGTGATATTGTTTAAATTATTCTGGTACAAGGTTTTTGTCCACTGAAAATTAAAATTACTCAATTCCCAGATGGATTCTGTCTTAACCTTTTCTTTGATGATTTACTCAGTTATCTTTGTGTAATCATTAGGAATTAAAACTTGATGTCATTATGGCCAGGGGAATCTCACAACCTCATACTAGCACATATCAGGTAAGTGACGAGTTTTAAGCTGTGGCAGATTTAGTCGTCCATGTGGCTGTTATCCTTATTTACAGTGTAATAGGCTGTTTGCACTAAGATGTCATGTGACATTGTTTTTATGATTAAAAAAAAGTTACATGATTTTACCTTTGAAAAACGATTAGTGGATTAGTGAAACAATAATCTGTTAATGTTTACAGCACATCTGAACATAACTATCAAATGTTTAACAAGATACAAACAAAAAGTAGTTTTATTTGGCCGCCATGTTGGAGGGCAAGATTACATGTATGCCATCCAATGTGGTGGCCAATACAAATCATACTACTTTGTTGGAAAAATCAAAGTGCCATAAAATATCTCCCTTAAAATGTGTTTCCTCTCAAATTTAGGGTGTAAGATTATTGTTATGTGCTCTGTCAATTTATAATATCAGCAAGATTCCAACTCACTGTTTAAAGGGGTGAGCTTATTTATGGTTTTGGATTCAATAGTTTGGGGAATTTTTTTTTTGGTGGGGGGCTAATTTTAATTAGTTAGTGGCTAATTTAAGTGGGGTGCTTATTTGAAGGAGGACACTAATTTGAGTATTTACAGTAGCTTAATGTACACTCAGGTTTTTATTATGTAAGTTTAAAAATAATATTCATCCTAACCTTTAACATTTAAACCCTATTATCTCTAGGCTATGAACAGTCTTCCAGGAGGGGATATAGGGAAAGACGCAGAGGCCAAAGTGCACTTGCAGAAGGCCTTTGCATGCCGTCATCGCAACATGGGTACTTGGGAAGAATGCAGTGACCTCTCCTGCCAAACAATCCAGCAACTTTTGGCCCATTCACAGAATTGTCACATGCGCGTATTAGGAGGTTGTGGCCATTGTATTCGTTTCAAGAACATGTTACTTTCTCATGCTTCAAGTTGTAAGCTTCCAAGAGGAGCATGTGTTATTGAGAAGTGTGATGACATCAGGAGGTACAAGGAAAGAACCAACATTCCTGACAACCGTCACTGGTCCCGCAAGCTTGATCAACTGTTCTTTAGACCAAGTCCACCTAGATCACCCACTGTGCTTCAAAATGAACCTGACTTCTCTCCCAGGGAAGATGAAACTGATGATCAAGTGGAATCCTCCCAAGGAGACTCCCTTAATCTGAGCAGCCTTAAAAGTGCCAATGAGAATTCTGCATGGGAAACGCAAGGGGCGTGGAGCCAGTATCATCTCGATCGCCCTCCAGACTTCCCTCAACCATTTGAAAACATCCACACCTTGTCAGAAGCATATGTAACAGTCGCCCGTGGTCCTGGGGTTGACATAGAAGACGATGAGAGCGACACTTCTGCTGCGCCATTGAGTGCCATATGTGTACCGGGAACTAGCCAAGCTGCTGAAAATATCATTCCCAGGCAGGAGATCATTTGGCCCCTTAATAAGGTAATGAAATCAACACTTTTAAATGCTGAGTGAATTAGTAGTCTAGTCAAGTAGGTTCAATGAACTCATTAAACCAACGTTATATATTACTTATTAACCGAGAGTGAGTTCATTTCAGGGAAACGGTCAATACATCAAGGTCGAGGTCTGATATTTTGCTGTAATGACAGAACGCAATATGTTAATAAGTTATTCTTTATATGCCCTTTTCATTATGGACCTGAGCCTGCGATGAATTAAAACCAACAACTGATCTGCAGATAACTTTAAAAAAAATGTCACCTCAATGAGTTGTACACCTGAGCCTGTGATACAGTCAGGTGACACTGGTCAGTGGATACCCTTTTTGACAGCTGTCAATTTACCATAACATGGATGTCCATAAGGATGTCCACTATCAAGTTAAACACAGATTGTATATACCTTGGACACCTACAAACAGCGACAAAATTGTACTCAAATAGGGTAACTTCTGATAAAAAAAGAATCCACACCCCTCCTCTGTCCCCTCAGCGTGCAAAGAAAGTAGTGTCTGATAGCCCGGGGCTAGTGAATTTTGCTATCGGGCTTACTGAATAGCTGAAATGATGTTTGGGCTAGTAAATGTTAGCTTCAGCTTGCCTGAATGGTAAGCTGTAAAAATGGCTTTCTTTGCACCCTGCCCCTCCATTCAAAGTTGGGTGTTTGTTGTTTTCTATAGGTAGCTCAAACAGTGGCACAACATCGCAGGGAGGGGATGGGGAAGGAAAAGCTATATTTCCCCCTTTTGACGTCAGTTAAACGTAAATAAAACCAGTTTAGGGTGAAGTGTCTCAACTCATTTTGTCGCTGATTGTAGCTAGTAATGCCAGGTCATTACAAGAAAACAGCCAATCAGAGCACGTGAAATATTGTAGCCATAAACCAATAATACATATTCCAATGACAAATACAATAAATTAGGGATATATTAATAAAAATATTATTTCAATCTTATTACAGTTTCTATAGCGCCAAAATCCCTTGAATTTTAAGGCACTTTTCTTGTAAATGTGAAATTGAATATAATTTTGTGTACATTAATGCCCAAATAATACAAGTATAAAGTATTAAGTGATCGTTGGGCGGCCATTTTGATTATTTCATAAACATAGCCAGCGCTATTGGGTCATGTACATGTGTAATATTAGAAAGTGTCCTTTTTCTTCCTTTTTTATTATCTTTTTATTTTAGTTGAGTTAATACACGAAATTTAACTATCTTGTTCTAAAATAGTTGGTTTTGTATTAAATTTTTGTTACACTCAAATTGTCTGTTGAACAAGTTCACTAAAGAGAAACTTCTAGTAAAACAAGGTTAAATTAGTCTTTAAAAAACTGCACAATTTGCATCATTTATCACATTTATTAATCAACCTTTCCTAACGCACAATATTCCCTGAAAATGTTGCATAATTTCTGATTTATCATTGTACCCTATCGGATAGCCTCCCACGCAGGCGTTTTTGGGGGAGCACGTTTTTCATCCCTCTCCACAAACGTCTGCTCAACCGAAAATAACATTCCTTTCTCATTGTTTTGTTTTTGCGTGGTAAGTGACCAATGAACAGTTTTGAAATATAGTGTTGACAGGCTAAACGCGACTAAAACGTGACCTTAGACTTACTGTTTTTCTTCTTTTCTTTCCTTCGCTAAGGTTATGCAGTGCATGGAGAATTCTAAAATTTGACTAAATCTTGGTTTTGCCGCACTGAATCTAACATTTATTAGAGGTCAGAAAGCTTTCTCAGTGTTTCATGCAGATCAAGTAATTATTAGATTACCCTGCGGTCAAGGTCAACTTTCCAGAATTTGGAAAGTACAAGGTGATTGGCTAAGCATGGGAAAGGAATGTTGTTTTTGGTTGAGCAGGCGTTTGTGGGGAGGTATGAAAGACGAGCTCCCCTAAAAACGCCTGCGTGGGAGGCTACCTATCAGAGTAGCCTGAATAATTTTAATAAGTAGTTATTAAGTCCATCATTGATCTGTATTTATCGATTATTTTTAGGAATATTTGAGTGTTGGTGAGGATGGATGTTATGTGGAGAAGGTCCACTGGGCACGTGAACGTCACATTGGTGGTGGTTCTTGTGGCCGTTGTTATCTGTGTATTGACTTGAACTCCAACTTTCTATTTGCCATTAAAGAGGTAAGGCTCATTTTCCCTAAATATCTCTTGTTATTATACTTGGTGACTATGGCTTTTGTGTTTCATTATTATATTCTTGGTTAAGATTTCATTATAATCCTAATCCATAAGTTATAATAGGTGGAATATATGCATGTGTGATCGTCTGTGTTATCACAGTTCTGAGTAGGACTGTTGTTGATGGTACATGTACCTGTTGTTTTGACAACCTGTGCGGTAGTCATCTTCAGAGTTAAAGTGAGTTGTATCACATGGTCATCAACCTAATTTATCATTAAGTCACACTGTTAAGCTGTGATGTCATTAGCTAGGATGACTTTAAATGTCATTTGCAAGTTTTCAATCCATCGTTTGTCACAGTTAAACAACTGTTTACTTTATTGTTAGCAGGGTTGTCAAAAGTAGCCGGCTGCTGGTGAAAATCACCGCCTACTTGGTTAGTATCGGCCGGCTACTCTGCTTGGCATTTCTTTACAGATGGTGTTTTTTAAATAAAATATCCCTGAACTGTCCGCTTGCTTTGACAACTCGGCTGTCTACTTCAAAACTTTCTGACAACCCTGTGTTAGTCAAATTCGCGGTTATCTGGAGTCATTTGTATGGCCCCATTAACTCAGTAGAAAATTCAGTTATCATTCCATCAACGGTTATGTATTCAGGACAACACTTACCCGGACGATTATACGCCACCTACTTATGAAATGTTTCCTAGGTTCAAAACATTTCTCTTAACTGTTATTGTTCACTAGATATGGTCTTGACTTTGAAAGAAGTGAGGATTAAACTGCACATATACGGCCACTAACTAACGTTACTGTAGCCACTTATTATTCGTTCTGCAGGTATAGGATAACAGTAACCTACATGATTAAATACGATAATACATGTTACTGAGGATCATCTATTGACTTTCTTGACTATTTGTAGATCCCTGAAAGCAGTTTTGACTTCAATGAAGTGCAGGTTTGGGGTCACCTGTCAGGCCGACACCCAGGCATTCTGGAGCTGTATGGAGCTGTAAAGTATGATGGAAAATTCACCATTTTCATGGAATACATGGAAGGCAAGAAAATCTCTCTCTGTTAGGAAGAGAATTTCTTCTTAATTTTCAAGCTTAATGTCAACTAAGAATGTAGGTGCTTAAAAAATGAAGGGAAATTTTAGCTACGGTATTTTTGAAAAGATTTTAATCCTGAATGATATTGAAAGATATTGGTGGACAATCAAAAAGTCATCAATTAACCTCATTTCCATGCAAATAAATATCATACCATCAAATCAGTGGTATATTGCTTGCATCTTCCAAATATGGTATTAGCCAGGGATGTCACTAAGTCAAGTAGCTGGGTAAATGCATGTACAACAAGTAGGTGGGGAATAAAACAGCTAGGGATTTCTTTTGGTTCTATTTTTCTTCTATTTTTCTATGAAAGTAGCCCGTGGCCATGTTCATGGTAGGCAGGGGAAATCCCCGGCCCTCGCCTCTTAATGACAGCCCTGTGGTAAGCACTTTTAAAGGAGCTGCGTATAATTTGAACAGTGGGGCTGCCACCAAATTGAGTGAAACGTAAAGATAAATTAAAGCTCCAAACATGGCATGCATGGTCAAACTTGAAGAAAAATGATTGAAACAGATTGTAATAATTGTGTTTTTTGAAAACTGGTTAGCCTGGCAGATTTTCAAAGTTCATTTTTGTTGTGAACAAAATAAAAGATGCTAAATTTTAAGCTCAGTGAAGCAAATGTGAAAATTAAATGATCAGCATGTCACGAGCGTGGGACAAAGAAAAAATCTGAGTCCCCAACAGGATTCGAACCTCTGACCCCCAAAACACTGGGTGGGCACTCCATCCACTTGAGCTACGGAGAACTCATGGTTCATATTTGACAGGCGTCCCGCATACTGCTAGGATCAGCGATGTCGATGTCAGACTATGTGATGAAAGAAATGAAAGATCGTAAATTTTAAGCTTGGTGAAACAAATGTGAAAATGAAATGATCAGCATGTCATGAGGGTGGGACAAAGAAAACATTGTTGCTTGTAATGTTTGAAATAATGCTTGGGAGACATAATAGTTATTTGACACAGATCTTCAATGTTTCATAGTTGATAAGAATGTGTAATTAATATTTTACACAAAATGAACTGGTCAGCGAGCTGTGACACAGTCCTTTTAACTTAGGTGGCATTATTTTCCCATGAGGTCATGAGGTTTTGTAAGACAGTCGTATTTCAAGTTAGCTGTCATTTTTCTGTTTTTATTTACAACAGGGGGCTCTGTGGATCACGTTGGGAAAATGCATGAAACTTTGGCATGCCACATCTTTTGCAAGGTTCTCTCTGCTGTAGACTTCATGCATTCTCAAGGAATTGTTCATCGGGACATTAAAGGTTTGTTATGGCAGTTACACTACCCTTTACATTCACAGCAGGTCAAGCTCTTAGTGTTCCCTTAAAGATTCCATTCATGAATCAACTAGTCATTGCCATAACCAGTCTCAAATTCAAATCTGCATTCCTGCATGCATAATGAGCAGTGAATTTTTTCTCAATTACTCCTCTGTCTTCCGTCAGATTGAAAAATCTTGGAATGGATAAAATGCAGTTGCTTTGAGGACTACATTTACATCAAATTCAAGTAAACTGAGCTGACAGGAATTTCATAACTACTTCACATGTGAATTCACTGCTCATTATGCATGCAGGAATACAGATATATATCTGAAATCTATAACTACCAACCGATTCAACTTTCAGTTATTAAACTCATTAATGCAATCTTGTGCAATCTTGGTGGGGGGCGGCTGGTCTTGACCTGGCCTGGCCTGACTATTAATCTACCCAATTTATATTAAGGCTCTTCAATGGGAATGCAGAAAGGGCTGGAAAACACAGAATTTGATGTGGCAACATCCTGGGCGATTTAATAAGATTTTGCTCCAGAGGCTACCAGAAATCCAGGTGTACCTTAAACCAGGGTTCTCATTAAGTCCCAGCTGCCGGCTAAAAAACCAGCTACTTGAAGGTTTGAGCTGTCTACTTCTTGGGAAAAAAGGGTAAAGTGAAAGAGTGAAAGCCTGAAATTGCCTACAGCACTCAAGCTATTACCAAGCTGCCTATATTTACATCATATAGCTGTCTACTTTAAAACTTAATGAGAACCCTGCGTAAACACTATAAGTCATTTCAGCTGTCATAATACCAATACATCAACACAACTTTTCAGCTTGAGTCGTGTTTTAGATTAAACATGTCATTTTTGTTTTCATAGGTGCAAACATTCTCACTGATGAAACAGGGGAAAAAGTAAAGTTAGCTGACTTTGGAACAAGTATTTGGCTTTCAAACGGATATCAACAGGATGACTTTCCTCGAGGAACAGAGCCTTTTATGGCACCCGAGGTAATAATCATGATACGTTGCTACTGGTTTTAATTATTATTATTAAAGCTGAATCATTGGATATTCAATTCTAGAGCTCTGATTGGCTTAGCCATCATGGTATATGAGACATTATACCATGCTCTCCAAATATGGTAACTGTACGTGTGTACGCGTCTGCTCAAAATTAAAAACAAGCTGAAAATCGGTTGTTTTTACAAATGAAGTCGTGAAGAATTCTCGATATTTTGTGGGCGTTTTTAGTAAAACAATTATTCCACTCATGCTTGTAGGATATGAGATGATTATAGCCAACTCGGCTCTACGGACCGCGTTGGCTATCTACCACCTCATATCCAACGCGCACTTGTGGAATAATTGTTAATTATTTACAGTTGATTGCAGTCAACCTCTGTCCCCTCAAAACCCAATTGGAAACCTTCCTTACTTAAGGCAGACAGCTCTCATAAGCAGACACTTGGTCATAGCCTTAACTGCTTAGAAACAAACACTGCATTTTTCAATTTTGACCTTCCTTTTGTGGATGCATCTTAAGAACACATTAGTTTTCTGGGCAGGGTGGATTGCTGGTTACGAGAGGTTTAACTGAATAATCACTTCCCTCGAGGAGCTGTTCATGAACAACCAAAAATAATTAGCGCTGGAAACATTAAATTCACCTTTTTCTAAGATGGACACAATTGGCAGTTTTTCAGTTAACTTTTTATGAACTTTATGAACTTTATTGAATTTACATGGCTCGCGCTACCAAAATGTTCCTGAAACTAGCACAAGTGACCCTGCTCGAAGGCTTGTTAATAGCCCTCTTGGTTATTATGTGTGGAGACCCAGGTATTCACAGTAAAATTTCATTTGTTTTGCATGTGATGCATCCATGTACTTTGTATTGCTTTTTAACCAGGTCTGCCGTAGTGATCGTCACTCATTCAGTGCTGATATCTGGAGTTCGATGTGCGTTCTTTATCAGATGTTGAAAGGAGTTCATCCATGGGAACAATATCGCCACTCCGATCGTCTAGTTTTGTTGTATAAGGTAATGCCATAGCCTGCGTCGTGGACGTAATCTAACTTAAGGGTTGTCAAAAGTAGCCGGCTGCCGGTGAAAGTCGCCGCCTACTTGGTTAGTATCAACCGGCTCCTCTGCTTAGCATTTCTTTTGCGGATGGCGTTTTTTAAATAAAATATCACTGGACTGGTAAAGAAACATCGCCTGAAAACTATAGCAAGTGTATGTGTCACTTACAGTTAAATTTAATGCCTACACGCGGTAATTCACCTTATAATTCACTTAAGATTTTCAGTACTTTTGGAGAGAAAATAGCCTGGAGAGTGCAGAAAACAGCATTTCAGAGCGTCTTAATATAAAAATTTTCTGGGGCAGCATGCCCCCAAGACCCCTCTAGAGGCTTGCGCCCTTGGCGCTCGCCAGTTCCTTCAGAGCTGGTCGCTTACTTTGACAACTAAGCCGTCTACTTCAAAACTTTCTGACAACCCTGAATCTAACCCCTGCTTGTAATAGCCTGCGCAAACAGCCATCTTTCCTCGCTCCTCTCGGCTAAGGGCATTTCGCCAGGAGAGACGTCTGTGCCTCAGTAACAGAAATTCCATACTGATGAGGTAAAATCTGTCCGGAATTTAGTCAGGAGCTCCGGTTGGTCAACTTAGCAATTATATTGACTAGCTACCAGTTACTAACAACAGAAAAAAGACAAAAGGAAAAGACAAAAGGTAAATGCGATGCATCTGTTAAAAAACAGTCATTATTCGTGGAATATATTCTTCTTTAGAAGAAGCTTTTGAGTTTTGCTGGAGCTGGTTCACAGAAGAACACAAAACTTAACGAAAATCGACCATGGAACAAATTTACATTTGGAACCCTAGGACTATCGGATTAATTAGGTTACAGTGATTTACGCCTTCATTAAGGAGTCGCTGTCGCTCAGGCGCGAAACATTCCTAGCGGCAAGAAATGAGGAGAGATGGCTGTTTTCACAGGCTTCGCTCGTAACGTCTGCGAAGCAGCGTCGAGATCATTGTTGTGGACACCCAACGGACTCAACGAATTACTAGAAGTGCGTTTGAAATTTCCGTTTAACAATTAGCCCATTGAACAATAATATTTAACAAAATAAACAAATTATGCCTTGTTCTCAAATCGTGGTATTTTTTCTTCTGGGAAAACGGCTTTCACCACATTCATGTCTAAAACTGCAAGAAAACTCCGAACTTAGTACTTTGTATGAGACAATTATTTCTAATTGCCATATGATTTCAGTATACTGAATTTCTTGTGTTTTAGGTGAGGATTAGGGTTAGGGGAAACTAATTCCTTGATATCTGTCATAAAGAACGTGAATCTTATTATCTTGCATTGCTGGGTATTTCTCGGTGTTGCCCATTGGGCAAGTGATCTTTAGCCCTTTAAGTCCCGATATCCAATTACAAATTCTCCCAACTGATCTCCATACATTTCCTTAAAGAATTAGTTGAGAGAATTTGATAAAAGATCAAAGCATTTTCCCTGAGGTGATCATTTTTATTAAATCTCATAACCGTTTCTTTTGCGAGGAGAAAATTGTTGTTGGTCACCCTTAAGACTTACATGGTTAAAATTT